ATAGATAGATAGATAGATAGACAGACAGACAGACAGACAGACAGACAGACAGACAGACAGACAGATAGATAGATAGAGATGATGGATAGATGGATGGATAAATATAGATGGATTGATATTAAATGATTGAGGATAAATTATTGAAGAGATAGATAGATAGATGGATAGATGGGTAGATGGATGATAGGTAGGTAGAATTTATATATATATTTCTTTTCATTTTTCCTTACTGTCTTCAGTTTTTATCTTTTGTTATTGTAAGCTGCCCAGGTTTGTCCTGAGATACGATGGTCAGCCAATGCAATAAGTAAATCCGTAAATCAATATATCTGTAAAGCAATAAATCAGTAAATCAACAAATCAGCGTATCAATAAAACAATAAAACAACCAATAAAATAAATTAGCAAATCAATAAATCAGCAAATCAATCAATCAGCAAATCAATAAATCAGTAAATCTATATATCAATAAATCAGCAAATCAATCAATCAGCAAATCAATAAATCAGTAAATCAGTACATCAGTAAACCAGCAAATCAATATTGTTTCTTTTTCTATTTCTCTTCCTGCCTGCCTGTCTTTCTTCCCCTATTTGTTCTTGGCTCTTCTCCGCACCTTCTGTTTTTTTTCTTTGTATTCCTTTCCTATTTTTTTTTTAAATTGCATTCGCTTTTATCTTTTTAATTCCAACGTTGAATAAAATTACTATTTTTTTAAAAAAAAAAGAGGAACACCTTTGAATCCCCCGCGAGCTCCAACCGAGCCCCTTCTACACCTCTCCGGTTCTTTGACGTACCCGCGTGCTGGAATTGACACGCATCAAATGGCCCCACGGTCTTTGTCATCCTTGGGCAAGTTCGCAGGGGTCCAGAGCTCCAGCTGCAGAAGGGAAGATCAAAATGCCGAGTGTGGAGTTAGCCGGGAGCGGAACGGGATGATTCGCACAGCCAGGTGGGCGTGGCTGGGTGGGCATGGTCCAGTGCGCGCAGCTAGCTTGGACCTGCTAACTCAGTGCAGCCGAGTCAGTGTGGAACAAGTGACACTGGCTAACTCAGTGGTGGTGAACCTTTTCGGCACCGAGTGCCGAAATGGGGGCGCGCATGCCGTAAACTACAAAGGAAGTTGCCGGCATGCGCACAAGTGCAGGAAACTGGAAAGTCAGCTTCCCGGCACATGCATGCATGCTGGCCATCTGGTCTTCTGTTTTCTAACATGCATGCATGCACGAAGATCAGCTGGCTGACACATGCATGCATGCCAGGGAGCTGCTCTTCCAGTTTCCAACGCTCCCCTGCATGCGAAGACCGGCTGGTCGGGTGTGCGTGTGCGCGCCGGAACCCGCAAGAGAAATGGGCGATGGCTGACATGTCCGGAGAGATGGCTCTGCATGCCACTGCATGGCATAGGTTGGCCATCACGGGGCTAACTTGGTGCGGGGTGACTTGGCGCCCCACCGAACTACCGGCAGCCAAACATGTGCAAACACCCACATCCCATTCTGAGTTGGGGTCTTTTCTTTACAGGGGAAGGATAAAACCTTCCCCACCAGCTCGGATGTGGATCAAAGTCCTCCCGCTTGGAATGTGGTGTGTGTGCGTATATGTGTTTGTGTGCGCAGCACACCAAAGGAGACCTTCTTCTCCTCAACCTGTATATCTGTCAACTCAAAAATATTTATCTGGTCTTTTAGAGCTGCCAGCAAAAAGGGAGTGGAAGGAACGGTACATTCCTTAAATGCTTCAGATAATTCCTAGGCGGCCGAAGCTTCTGGTGCACAAGATTATCACTGGAGAGCATGATTGATGACTCTTGGCTATGGATGTACCCCATTGGAGAATATACATCCAGGGCGTGGGGGGAAGACCAGGGTCAAGGGTGAGATGAATGATGTGTCTCAGGGTCGGCTGCACCCAGGTAACACCAGCATGTTCACTCCTAATAAATCTTCTTTAAACTCTGTGAGATGTGGCTAGAGACTCACGATTTAAATAGGGGGTGGATGTCAGAGCCCCGACAGCATCTGAGCATTGGTGTTTCCCTGTTTGGTATCACCACCACCCGCCGAAGGCACAGCAAGAGGCAAGGATTTGGTAGGGTGCAGAGTGGTCTCCATGCCGAGTTAGCCTGGGCAACGTGTTCTGCGCCGAGGCTCCCCACCCAACCCGGACTGTCTCCCTTCCCAAACTTCGGGGTGGGCTTCCAAAATGTTAGCAAGCAGTTCTCTGCCCGGTTGCTGGGGGGTGTGTGTGCCCATAGTAGGGGTGGCCTAGTTGGTCTTTTGCACCATGGCCGGGGGGGGGGCGTTTTTGCCCTCCCCGGGGCTCCAGAGGCTCCCTGGAAGCTGTCAACGGGCCGGTTTCCGGCCTTCCCGAACTTCCAGAAGACCCGTTTTTCGCCCTCCACGAGCCTCCACGCGCATCCGGCACTTACCTGCATCCAAAACGGGCCCTGTGGGGACTCCTGTGAGGGGAGGG